CCATTTCTATTAGCGTGACGAGGTACAGGCGGACCGAACAATGGCCTTTGTAGGAGCAACATCTACAAACCTCATTACCGCCCACAAGAATAGAAACGTGCAACTCAATTATACGCTATTCTAATCTGTACCCCTAACTTCAGATATGTCGAGTCCATTAAATCACTCCACGGAGCAGTTCTGCTTGTCGCTCAGAAAATTAAAGAATTCTTCGACTTCTGTCACAAAGTTTACGTACCCTTCATGTACAATATTTCGGTAAGCGAGAATTCTTATACGGGTCCCCAACATCGAGGCCAAATGGTTACCACTTCTGTTACGCAATCGGGAAGGAGAATCTTGGGTTCAAATTTCAGGCCCAAATTCTTTCGTGGCTTTTTCAGTTCGTTCAGACAAATATAGAGAGAACGCAACCTCTTCCTTCCATATCCTTTCCCATTCATTATTCACTACCATCCTGTCATTCGACGCCATATAACCTGAAGTACTGACAGCGTTGTGAAATTAAGTACAATTAAACAGATATATGAAATACTGAAAGCATATGCGCATGCGTCGGTGACGTAGCAGAATATGCATTTTGTCATTGGTTAACATACGCGCATGCGTGAGTAACTAGAGCGATGGCTGTATCGGAATTTGTTATTCCCATCGCATTTTAGATTCTGCAGTGTATTACGCACATTTAATACATATATAAGAAGGCCATCAAGTTGAAGTGTAACAGGCACGAAAGAGCAGAGAAAATACTTGTATATCTACTACTATTTCTGACAGGCAGATAAGTGTGTTACAATTGTGAAGCGAAAGAAATTCACCAGGAATGCATCTACACTTATAACATGGAGTCAGTGGGGAGGTGGGAATTGATTTTTAATGTCAAGTTTCACGATACAGTCACATTTTCAAGAACACTTATCTCCTGCAACATGGCGACCTGATGTTCTTTTCTAACCCTACCATTTAAACATAACAAAATCAACTAAGTGTTTTGAAATTAGAACAGTGTCATTTTCTCCAAACCTGTATATTCTGTAAAGATTAACTTATCACACAAGACGGCATCTCTGTCATGCAGTGATACAAGAGTTTCGATATGAAACATAATTTCCTGTACTGTCGAGTAAACTTGTCAGCACCTGACAACGGCATTTCCGCCAGTTTAACTTGCGGCATGTGACCCTAAAGGCGGGTTTACAGTGGGGCAACTTAAAGCAACCTAGTTGCCCTCCTCGGGCGACTATGTTTGCCGTCCAATTTATCATGCAGCATGCGGCCAGGAGCAACCGTTGCCGCATGCGACCGAGCCCATTTACACCCACAGCGACTGGTTGCTTCAATTTTTACGTCAGCTTGTGTAGAGATGTCACTGCAGACAGTTGCTGCTGCGGCTTATCTCATTTTGAGGAGGAGAAGAAAACGTCAGAGATCCGCTCTTCTTCTTTCTATACCTGTGGAAGGTCGTTCTGAGATTCTCAACCTTTTCTTTCGCTTCCTTCACCGAACATTCAAACTTCGTGGCTAATTCCTCCCATAACTTCAACTTCTTCCGATTGTCTTTATAATTGGGATCCCGCAAATCCCACAGAATGCTCTTTTCGCGGTACTCTTCGATAAGATACTTGGCTTTATCAGAGTCCCAACTCATCGCGCCGCATGCGAGTAGGCAACTGAACCCACTAGCGGCCTGGAGCAACTAGAGGACGCAGGACGCAAGCCGCATGCGATTGCCCTACACACTTCCTGCAAGTGAGCAACTTGCAGCATGCGGCGCGGTTGCCAATGGTTGCCTCAGTGTAAACCCGCCCTAACAGTCAGCTGTGTAGTGGAAACGATCAACTTCCATGCGATGTGGAATTACACCTATAAATTATGGTGCTACATCCTAGCCAGGCCTGCACAAATGCCTGGCACCTAACTTTCCCATGACAACTCCACGGATCTTCTTATTGCTATATGCCGATAATGCATGAGCCATCAAAGATGAAGGTGAAAAAAAATCTTTTTTCTTTTCCTTTGTTCCTTTTAGTATCTTTGTCTCCTTCCTTCTTTTCTCCCTGACTGCCTCCCTTCCATCATTATCGTTACTCCTCTCCCCCATATATTAGCAAAGACAGAAGATATATCGGGGTTTCCCCGTATCAGATTTATCATTCGGGGTATTTCATTCTTTACACTGTTTCCTAATTTCTTAAAGTGGCTCATATATTTATTGGAAATTTGTGCAGGACCGATTGTAGAGCTAATTTTCGTAAGATTATATCCCATTACTCATTTCGTAAAATGTGTTAACAGTAAGTAAAAGTATCCCTGTAACAGGTCGTGAGGCCCATAGGGTTGTGTTAACAGTAGAGAGCGTACAAATAATTTCATGTATTATAAGACGTGTAACGTATAACCAGCAACAATGGAAAAGTTCTGAAAGCATGGCAATTTGACCAGCGTCTCTAACTGCGAACACTGATGTTGCTTCCAATATCGAAATGTCTGTTAGTAATTTTACCGCACAAGACCGAAATTGTTCAGTACATCCCAGGTTAAATTTCCAAACTATATAGCTACTACGGAATACATGTTGTCGCTGAAAGAAAACAAATTTATAATAGATTTAATTGTGTAAAATACACAGCGAGGTGGTAGTGGTGGGCTGTCATATATTTGAAAGAATGTCAAGAAATAAAACTTCTATTGTTGTCTAAAATTAATAATATTCCATGTTTTAGAAATTTTTCATGCCATGAATAAACACAAACACTATGTAAATAAAGGATCATTCATATAAAAAACAAACTCCGTGGCCTTTAGTCCACAAGCGAACTATACCGACCGACGGTTCGTCGGCGAAGTTAGTGCCAACTTTTATGGATAGAGGATGTCGCGTGGTTAGCGCAACGAATCCCCACGGCCGTTAATCTCGGTTTTCTAGACCGGAACAAGCATTTCCTTGAAATAGCTCCTCAATTATCATCACGAGGCTGAGTGGACCCCGTTCCAGACCCACTACTACTTAGAAAATGTGGTAGAGCCAGGAATCGAACCCGGAACCTCTGAATCTGTAGCCAATAAATCTGACCATTAGACCTTAGAAGAAGTCAAAGGATTATTCATACCTACATGAAGGGTTCTATTGCTGCTTCCAACTTCAGAAATTCGCGCATCCGTCATATTTATTAATGCCGGGGAATTAAAAATTGTGAATCGCAACACTTAATAATGGCATGATGCCCAACCGTAGATCAATGATAATCTTACAACTTGTACAAATTTGTACGGCCGTGTAACCGCTATAACTAATGCACGTGACGCTGGGTACGCCTGTCCTAAATTATTATTACATGAGAATGACAAATAATATTCAGCTATATCGACTGACCAAAATCCTTTAGAGAATGTTACAGTCGTTCAATTACTCGTAATAGTAAATGACACGTACACTAAACTAATTCAGCACCGTGAAACATACAAACCAATGGAGCATATAATAACAAAGATAATAGCATTACAACGACATCCGTTAACAACCACAATAAACAACAGGCAACACACCGACGCAGCAGGAGGAAAACAGCGCGAGAAAACATAACGACGGATAATGTGCTCGAACAAGTTATCTTTTACGAACGAATGACTACAGTTGGAACGACACTGACAAATTTGGAAGTAGTTCATTTTCACTTTCACTTTAACTTTTTTATTTGTTCCATAAATCGTTATTGACAAACATGCCACAGGATGTAGAACATGTCAAAGATAATTATAAAAGAAAAAACAGTTCCTATACAGAGCTTTGTCAACAATAAAATAGGTACAATAAAATAAGAATAGCCTAAACATATAATGGATTTATCATATTTCTGCATAAATAAAGATATAAATATAATAGTATCAAAAATATAAACATTATGAATATAAAATCAAAATAAAATTATAAAGTATATTATTGTATTATATTAAAATATTCCTCTAGTGAATAAAAGGAATAAAGATACAGAAATTCCCTCAATGCGCTTTTAAATTGTTTTATATCATTTGACAATAGTTTTATAGGAGCAGGCAGTCTATTAAAAACCTTAATCCCTGTATAATGTAAGCCTTTTTGGTACAGTGACAGATGAGACCGTGGGTAATGCATATCGAGACTGTTCCTAATGTCTCTATTATGCCTCTGGGAGTTTCTTTTTAAGTGTTCACTGTTCTTAATCACAAATATCAAAAGTAAATATATATATTGTGATTGTAAAGGTAATATATTTAGTTTTTTTAAAATATTCTCTACACGATTTCCTATTTCCAATCCCTACCATAATTCTAATAATTCTCTTTTGGAGTTTAAATATTGTGTTACTATAATAACAGTTCCCCTAAAATATCAATCCATAGGTCATTATGGAATGGAAGTATGAGAAATATACTGACTTAAGCGATTCGAGGGACAGGAATTATACTTAAGGTTCGGCCACACAGAGCGCTACGCTGTGTTCGCTACGTACGCTGTGTACACTCAGCGACACAGCTAACATATAGCGTACGTAGCGTACGGAAGTCTGTTTGGCCAGTCACATTGGCAATAAAGGGAGATATTTTTCTGTTCGTATAGCGAACATAGCTTACGTAGCGTGCGTCGCGTACGTAGCGCTCTGTGTGGCCGAACCTTCACCCAGTCCGCTCGTCTTATACCTTTATGGCGTCGAGGTTGTTTCCCTACCCTTCCCCCACTTTGATCATTTTACAGACGATAGGAATCCTTGGACGAGTGATCAACCCGTCACAAGGCCGCTACCTAAATACAGGACAACACAAACACAGAATAAACGCATACACACACCAAACATCCATGCTTTGGATGAGATTCGAATCGACGATCCCAGCGTCCGCGCGAGGGAAGACAGTTCATGCCTTAGGCCGCGCGGCTGCTGTGACCGGTGATTAACATAGTAGCTCTGTATAAAGAAAGTTATTTACAAATCACCACTATGCGTAAGGGTGATGTTGGTACTTACAACGTCGATAATGTGATGCAAGGAGACGCCGAACACGACCTTGAGCGGTTCCGACGAATTTTCGGCTGGACGAACCGAAGGATCATAGTTGGCCATCAGATAGCGCGTGAGTCGATATTCCTGTTCGTCTCCCAGCACTGAAAGAAGTATATTAATTCACTCGAGAACCTTACTATGAAAATACAGAGCATCAAATTCCAGAAGATAGTAAACTTCATAGCTGCAATTATAAAAACTTAAATTTACACAATTACCGATATTTTTTCAGTGAATGCATCGTGTTGTGTATCATATATTACTTCTTACTGAAAACCGTCATAACAATCAATAATACGTGTAAGTAGCTCTAGGAGATACTTTTGCTACATGTTTCGGCCTTCAAAAGGCCATCATCAGGCAGATACATTAAACTTTTCGTTACTGAATTGCATGTCAAATATAGGATACAGCGCTAAACTTCCAAGTGTATACAGTGGTATAAAATGATATGAGTGAGCTGGGGAGGTAGGGGTCAACATGTCACAATATAAATTACAATAACCAGTTACATAGCCAAAAGTATAGTCAAAAGCTGTACATGTGATGGTATTTGGAAGTTGGCAGTTGTAATCGTAATATATGTAATGCTTATACGGACATATTGTGTACACAGTGGCTGATGTGGGGAGGCCCGTTGTTATGTTGTATGTTATTATTTAATGAATTTGATTTGTTTCATTTTGGTCCGTCACACTAACAGTTACAATTATAAAAGACAAGTCCGTCCAATGTGACTATTTCAGTTTTCTCACTTGATGATTCACTAGCCTTACATGTTTCGATCCATTTGGGTCATCTTCAGAGGCACCAAACACTTTTTTGAAACCACTATCACAACAGTTGTCAATAAAATACACATTTAATGTCCAAGTACACAATGTTCCATCTATCAATCACAGTAGCCTTTCTGGTTACAGAAATATTTAAAGTTGTTTTAAAGTTTTTAAAACTTTTGATTGACAACTGTTGTGATAGTGGTTTCAGAAAAGTGTTTGGTGCCTCTGAAGATGATCCAAATGGATCGAAACATGTAAGGCTAGTGAATCATCAAGTGAGAAAACTGAAATAGTCACATTGGACGGACTTGTCTTTTATAATTGTAACTGTTAGTGTGACGGACCAAAATGAAACAAATNGAAGGAACATGTTCCTGTGACGTAAACGAAATGGGCTCAGATCTCGCTTGTAGCTCGCGAAATCGTATCTTTACTTTCATCAATGTGAAAAAAAAGCAAACCCACAAGCTAAAACAAGGCAATGTAGCTCAAGAGGTAATGGTTTGTGACGCTGAGTTCCGTAGGTTATGGGTTCGAATTTCTGCTGGAACATAGACTATCCTGCCGTTTGGAAATTTACTAGATATCACCTTTCCTTTGGTCCTGAAAATGGAAGAGATATGTTTCTCCGAAAGGTCTGACTCCCTCCCGAACTACACTGCCTTACAATCTAGAAGACTCATGGTCCTAGATATTGCATATGTGTTCTCTGGACGTGTGGACAGCAAATGACCCGACTTATGTCCAAAAAGTGACCTCGTATATGGAAACGACTATACTCCTGGAAATGTGTTTCATTTCACAGGATGTTAAGAACTCTAGGCGGATTTGTACGGCTCTACTGAACAGCGATTCAATGAAGCGTTTAGTGCCCTGATCCGCGGTTAACTCTATGAAAAACAAGTATACTTCTGCAGTTTTTTTTTTCCTCGGAACTTAATCAAGTTGTCTGTTCCCATAAGCCCAAGTTGGTCCATTACATCTAATCCGTTAGAAACTTAACAAGTGAGGACTGGGCGATCTTAACCGTTGTATAGTTCATGATATTTCTCGTTACTTTATTTTCGTTTTATAAAATTACATTGTGGAAATCTTTAGATAAGTTGAGAGGATACAGGCTTCTCAAGAAGGGCTCTTCCATGGAGTTTGAGGAGTATTTCTGAAAGTTCTGAATAAAAAAAGTTGCTATCTATACGAAAACTTCCAATTTATAAAATATAATTACTACTTGCCATGTTAACAGTAACAGTAATCAGACATGAATATGAATGAAAATATTTTCAACGCCTCAGAATGCCTTGTTAAAACAAAAATGCGCCCATGGTGGCGGGCGATAGTCCCACTTGTGAGAGGTGTCAAGAAGAAAATGAAACAGCCACACCTATCCTGTGTGAATGTGAGGCCTTAGCTTATTTAAGATTACGTCACTTGGGCCAATACTTTATGGAACCAAGTGACTATTTTGACGCCCCCACGTACAAAATCCTACACTTCATTTGAAGCGCACGATTGCTGAGGAGATAATCAAAAGGGGAAGCACAATAGACCACTGTAGGTCGCTGTGTAAACCCGAGGAAGCCCACCCCTCATACATCCATTCATTCATTCAAAATGCGCCCATCAAGAATTACGTATAGATGAAAGGATATTACTGAAATAAATTATAAACAAATATTGTTTGAGGAATGTGAACTGGATTCAGTTGGCTCCAGATGGGATCCATTTGCGGGCTATAGTCAGCATAATAAATTTTGGGGTTCAGTAATGAGAACAGAAATGCTTGGCCAACTGAACGACTACCGGGTTCTCAAGAACTTCTCCGCGTGTTCAGATTTTCCTGCAATGTGATCATCCTTCATACTAAATCTGACGCTCAGAAAGCGGTGGATATGAACAACAGAATCTTCTAGGTCATGACGTCGTGTAGTATGGACAGATCCAGACGTTTTGGTGGAACATATTGCCTCCATCTTCAGAGGATAATAGTAAACCAAGGAACAAACCAAGTTGAGCTCGCCGGCTGCTTCTGCTGGTTTCTTGCTTGGCTTAGTCTCCTACTCTGAAGATGGAGATATTTCTCCGAAACATTAGGCTCTCTCTCCAAACTACAAGGCGTCATAACCCAAAATATTGTTAAAGTGGATGCCCATTGTTAGGCAACAGCTAGGTAAATAGTACTTGTTCCCACTGCAACAAATGTTAACAAAGACATTCCCGTGATAACACAACAATATAGAGATTGTTAGAATACGGTGTTCTCAATGTGTTTTCTGTGCGTGGTCCGTGCCGAAGGTTTATAGGGTACAACGAAGGTCGTTTGTAGGCAGTCACTCGTGTGGAGGCGGGGTCGAATATCTCCACCGTGACCCTGCGAGTCGTAGAAGGCTGGCAATGTCCAGCAGCATATATAAAAGACAGACCCGTCCTCTCGTCAGAGAGGGCGCCTAACGAAAGCAAGACCATAACTGCCAACAGTAATAAATAACTTACTGACTGACTGACCGTCACTCACAATGTGACCTTGACTTTGACTTTGTAGGCAGTTTTAGAACGAGAAGCAGAATGAAGAGAGTCCTCGGCAGTCAAGATCGATTCTGAACTTCAATAATTGATTGTAATCGTAAATAAGTGCCAATAAAGCCAATCATCAAATCCAGAACCCATTATTATTTCGTCACGCCAAATCCCTATACGTGACAATATCCTGTTCTTCCAGTCCTTTTTTCAGTTAACACCCGAAACATCTTTTTTTTTTTAATATGCGTCAAGAAATAAGTTCTTTTTTCGCTGATATTCCTCTGTGAGTGAAACGAAGTAACGTTTGATCTTCCCGGAAGGCTGTCGGCTTTGTTTACGTGTATTTCTGTTGTGTGAAGATACAGCGCTATGACAGAAAGCCCTACTTCTGTAGCTCACTCTATTCAGATAGAGACATGCACATACAGAGTTACTGATCGTGTCCATTCCATCTCAAAATGGTGTCCTTAGAGTTGCAGCTGACAAGAATTCCTGAAGGAAGTTGCTTTGTGATATCAAAATGAAAGTACGCCAGTCAGAAGATGAATACACTCAACCTGGATGCTACGCACGAGAATAGGATACAAAGAACTTTCGAACGCATGAAACATCTGAACTTCTAGTCACTATGTTAGTCCATACGGCTCATCTTTTGAAAAGCTCAGGTGACATAAACTTTATTGGGCAGGAAACGAAACTAGAGAACGAATTTAACTACTGGAATGGTTGAGAAGTCTTTAATCAGTCAGCTGCCATCAAGTGTATCTCTTTCAATTCCCCGAAACTTCTACCCATGAACAGAACTGCTTCCATCTAATTCATGAAAGTTCATAATTGTTAAGTGACAAGTTCGCGGCTTTGAACACCCGTGCAAGAATTTGGGGGTTTTCTTATACCATTCAGATGATATATATGAATTTCGTATTTCTTGGAATGGATGGTGCACACGGCCTAAAGAAAGACTCATACAGCCCATTGTTAATATAAAAATTTAAGTATTTGTTGACTTATAAAATTTGTTTTAGATGTAGACAATAAAAGAGAGATATGTTTCCAACAACGGCCTGTTTCTCAGACATGTAGGGCCATATTTTCATGCCGGTGATTTATAGAAATAATTGTTTTCTTCTGTTTAACCCTTTAAATACTGATATTTTTAAAAATGTTATATAAATATTCAGTTCGTGCCTTACAGGAAACAAGTTACGTTTCCGCTACAAAGACCATCCAGTTGATGCCATTTAAATAAACAATTACCCTTTGTTATGAGAACCATCTGGAACAAATTAATATCTTTTGTGAGCAGAATGCAGAATTATAATATTGTAACGGATTTAATCAACGCGTTGCCACGCAACAGCTCTGTAAACATGGTCCAACATGCAACAGTAGATGAGGCTGTGTTTTCTATGTCGTCCGCGTCACGTCCAGTGCTACTAACAGACCAATGAACCCGCAGTCTGACACGTGACACATGTTTTCTGTGTAGTCTGCGTAATGCAAGAATAGAGGGGCTGTGCTCTCTGTGCATGGTCCATGCTGAGAAGATACAAGAGAATACGGGAATGGGAATCGACTTTACCCGTGTTGAGGGGGGGGGTCAAATACCTCCACCGTGACCCGGCAAGTCGTAGGACGCGACGAAAAAGAAAGTATGAAATCTGAGACAGTAAAACATAATCGCGAGTTCCAAGGGACTCAGACCCGAGAAAGACTGCGCTGCCAAGGACCAACAGCATATGCACATAAATTAATTCGCTTAGTGGGGGTGGAGTCCAACTGGGTCCACTCGGCACGGCGGCCAC